TATATATATATTAATACAAAATTTAAATATTATTATTTATTACAATTAAATTTAATTCATAAACTACTTACTCTTTGAACGCATTGAGGAGAACGTCCAGGTTCTCCTGGGTGATGTCATTGTGTCACCTACAAAAAGGCATGTATACACTTATTCATCAAGTCACAAGTTTCTTCCATCTCAGTCACAATCAGAAAGAAATTATTTGCGATGTAACTAATAATGTATCAGAGAGAACCTTGACTTAAGTTAAAGTTCCTTCAATGTGAGAAACTTCCATGGTTTTTTCCCAAAGACCAAGGTCATAGTCTTTTGGGTCCTTAAGTGAATATTAACTTGCCGACTCTTTGTCATTAATGGTAAGTCTTCTTGACACTCCCTTTACTGCAGGTGTGCAGAGATCACAGACATGAGCAACCTCATAGCTGCTCCATTATTCCCAATGCCAATAAACACCAACTCTATTTTTGTGCATTTACGTTTTTATGAAAAAGCCTAATTAACCTTGTGCTTCAACCCATACTTCATAAGGAGTCCCTATGCACCAGTTGTAGAGAAGCAAACTTAACTAAATTAAATCATGTGAACATTTGAACTGTTTTTGCTTACATACTGCAACTCTTGCACCCTTCAAAGGCCACTCCACCACAGGAAGTATCAGAATTGTGGTGGTTTTTTGTATGTCAAACATACATAGCATCACACGGGGTTAGCAATCATATCTGAGCCAGAAATCAGAGCTGTCTTTAACATACTACATACAATGCCATAAAGCCACATGCAGAAAAACAATCTGCATAAAACAGTAATTTTATATAAATTCTTTGTTGCTACATGAATAATGTTAGTAATTTTAATGGGGGGAAAAAAACGTAAAATGCATCAGGGAAAACTTGTTAAATGGTTAATTGTCAGTGAAATCCTTTTACATTTAAACAGAAAACTATAAGTTTACTGTAATACTGTAAAAATAATTGCAATATTTACATTAAAATATGAACACTTACAAATGCTTATAAAATTGCAAGTGTTATTAAAATAACTACCATTCAAATGTTTGAGGTTAGTATGCAACAAGGACACATTAAATTTATCAAAATTGACAGTAAAGACATCTATAATGTTACAAAAGATTTAACTTTCAAATAAATGCTGTTCTTTTGAACCTTAACTGTTTTCAACATTGATAAAAAAAAAAGAAAGGTTTCTAGAGCACCAAATCAGAATGATTTCTGAAGATCATGTGACACTGAAGACTGGAGTAATGACGCTGAAAATTCAGCTTTGACATTGCAAGAATAAATTATATTTTAAAATATATTATAATAGAAAACAGTGATTTTAAATAGTAATATTTCACAATATTTTTTTTTAAATAAATGCAGCTTTGATTAGCATAAGAGCCTTCGTTCAAAAGCATTAATGAATCTTTCCAACCCCAAACATTTGAATGGATTTTGATATTTAATAATAATAATTTACCATAAAATATTGTTAATATGTTTGACTACATTCACAAAAATACCTGAAACATTGTCACTGTATTATTATTTATTTCAATAATTTCATAATATAATTAAATGTTGTGTTCAATATTAATAAATAGTTCATTTAGGTTTGTATCAAGTTCTGTCCTGGTAACGCTCATGTTTATTCCCAGTCTCTTAAACAAGAATCATCATCCTCTCCCATACGTTTATTGGCATGTTTTTGTGAAAGACATGGTCGTTAGTATACTCTAGGTCTTTTTATAGCTGACTGTATTCCCCACAGGATGACCTCAGGTCAGCAGTAGGTCTTCCTGTTGCCCCAGTGACTCCGTCTCAGCAGTTATGTGGGAAAATTTTGAGGATGCGCTTTATGACTTTTGTATGCGGTGGTTGTTCCAAACGAATGTAGATTTGGGCCTTAAAGAGCTCATTTATATTATTTCAGATGCAGACAGTGGCACAGCTGCTGTTTGGAGCCTTAATTTCAGTGTAGATCAGAAATTGGATAGAGTTTTCCACCAGTCCCCTATAAAGCTGTCTATAGGCTTCTATTATAATATACCTTGGTTGAATCTCTAATAGCAAAATAACAATATTTGGACAGGTATCAGAGAATCCTGGTTTTCTGTCCTTTATGGCTCAGATATGAATAGACAGACAGAGGCTGTGTCAGCTGCTGGGAAAAGGAGAATATCCTCTTCCTTGACTCCTCCTTCAAACATCAATCAATCATTAACATCCATTCATTCACCCACTCATTCTCTCGCTCTCTCATTATTCCAAATTAAAGGCCATTCATCATGTGATGAATGTGGTGGGACAGTAGTTGTTTTAAATAGCTCCTCAACATTGATCTCTATACTTTATTCCTTTTTGTTCAGTTGTTTGTCTCTTATCACAATAAAATTCAGATTGCGCTGCATCAGTGAGGGAGATTTTGATGACAAGATCTGACCTCAGGCTTCTAGCCCAAAATATTCATTCAAATCTCTTGTGAAAGTTCATTTTGACTCAAAACAGCTCAGAGGAGTGCAATTCTTTTTTTTTTTTAAAGAAGGCTTAGCAAACAGATGTTCTTGCATGTCTCATACAACAAAAACGCACTCAGACCCTAAAAAGACATTTACTGGAATAACATGTTCACCTTAAGTTATGGCAATGCTTTTTCAGGATTAGTTTGAACTTTTATCAGTTAAAGGAATTGTTCACCCAAAATTTCATGGTAATTATGACTTTACATTTTTGTGTAAACGGCGCACAAGTAATTTGGACTGCTTTTACGGTGATGTTTTGGATAGTTGTAATCATCTGTATTTTATAGTCAGTCACTTTTTATTGTATGGCAGTCTGGGAATTCTGCAAAATATTCTTCATAGAAGAAATAAAGTTATTTACTCGTACAATCAGTTTTTCCTCCCACCTCATGTGACAAGTTTTGCGAGAGAATGCACAAATCAAATTTTTTGTAGGACATAAAATCTGTTTGTCCATGTATAAATGTTTAATCGAATATTTGAAGAATTAAATTCACGTTGCGCGTTACCTCAGTCTCTCAGAGCATGCGCAGATTGCGCACAACGTTACGCTGAACGAAATTGCGTTACGAGCGCATCTAGGTACGTTACAGACTTCATAAAAACGCAACTGGAACGATTTAGGTCCCACAAAATTATTGCTGACTGACACTGAGCTTTTAAACTACAGGTAAATGCATACAGATCTGTGTTCAGCACAGAACTATGAACCGAGACAAACTGAGCTTGAATTTGAGACCTGTTCTAGATTGAGTGTGGAGTGCAGTGGTTGACGTCAGTCAGCAGACAAGCATCAACACGTGTGTGGTGCACACCCTTACCTTAAAACGGGTCATTATGTAAATGACAGTTTCTCCTTTCTGTACAGGAGGACTGTTGTTCAACGCGGCAGGGCTTTAGCAGGTCAATGCGTCGTGTTTTAATGCAGTTGTGTCACTTGTGTGTAAAGATCCTGCTTGTAACAGGACATAATTCTTGCATTTCACCCCAGAGTCATTTTTCTTTTGGTACGAGTCATAAAATGGTAAATACTTTTACAATAAGTTCTCTTACCTTTCAGGTCTAGAAGAAGGACTGAAATTAGTTATTTTTAGATTACTTCCCTAAACACTAAAGAAACACAGGACCTGCTTGCCCCGACCTCTAGAGGGAAATATAGCACCTTATGACTCAAGCTAATGTGTTTTTCCCATTGTCCATTATTTTGACTGTCAGGTAACAAGCTTTTATAAATGAAGGAGCTAGTAGGGATATTGATAGAAAATGTCTTCTGAGATCATGCATGTTATGTAAATCATTTTCTCAGTGCACTATAGTGAAACACCAATATGTTTTATCTGATTAGGAAGTTATTGAATTTGCGCTGTTCTCACCACACGAAATTCAAAAAAGCCATATGGTGAGAGTCATCAATATATAAAACTT